TAGCAGTAGCTGGGGAAACCAGCCCATTACTGCCTGTGTTCTATCAGCTATGTAGAGAGCACTCTGTTTGTATGCTTTGAGAAGTTTAATAGTTTCATGCATACTTTAGGAGGAAAAGTACTATTGGGCTATTGATCTTTTCTCTTTAATTACATAGACTTTAGGGGAGAACAAAAGGGAATAAAGAAAATACATGAAGAAATGGTAGGTCCTGCCAAGATTTCTGATAATGTTTTTCATTACTGTACCAGAAACTCAAACCATATTTGAAAAATATCTCCCTTTTTAGAAAAATAATTTGAGGTACTCAAATTGCTACTAAGGTTACTATGTAAAGTTAAACTTTTAAAATTAATTATGTGATTATAAGATATCTGTATTTCAAATTTCCTAAAGAATGCCTTCAAAAACGTAGAGATTTTACAGCCTTGGAAATGTTTATTTAATAATTTGAAAATTATTGAATTTCTTGCTTCAGATAGTTTTAAGTATTATATAGCCAAATCAGCTAGGCTCAAACAAGATTTCACTTCTCTATTGAATTCATGTACTCCTAGCTCAGCCAAGCACAAAACAGCTAATGCTGTCACGTTTGAAAAGCTTTTATGCTGAATTTGACACAAAAGCAATCACAAAGCCGACAAAAAGGAAATTTCTCTTTCAAAAGCTGAAAGGGGAAAAATAAATGAAAACTCTGAGCCTGTGAAAATCTCTCTTGACACTGGAAAAGAAAGTTTAAAACGATCAAGAAATAATTTTTCCGAAGAATCCATTGCCAAGTTTGGACCAATCTTAAAAGTCTAGGGAGCAGGTTATGAACTCAACCAAGATTCTGCCAAATGAAATAAATCTCAGGATGTTCACTGTTGGCAGTTTTAAGTGCCAATAGCATACTATTTTTGCCTCTTGTGAAAGTTCTAAATGGCATAATCTCTCCTAGGATTCTGTCATAGCCTATTGGCAAAGATTTTGATTAGAATGAAAATCTTGTATGTTTCTGCCTAACATCTGTCTTTCTATCTCAAAAGATTTTTATTGTTGTACCAGGTCCATGGAAAAGATAAAATTAAGCCATGAAGCCATGTGGCTAACAAAATTAACTACTTTCTAACTTCGTGTTTTGCTTTAGAAAAATTAAGGGTGAAAGAAAACAATTACAACTATGTTATGGCCATCTCTAAATGACCTGCTAATTAATTGTTGATACTCCAGGCCATCTGCATTCTGTTTTGTTTTTACCAAATCAAGACTCTCCTGTTGCTGTTTCCTTCTACTCTGACCATACTTTCAAGGTAAGCTTTCTCCACATGACATCTTCGATTTTGTTTCTATTTTGTTTCTATTTTATTTCTTTTCTTTCTATTTTGTTTCTATTTTATTTCTTTTCTTTCTATTTATTGTCCCCATTTATTCTTCACCGTTTTTTTCTAAATAAGAGGAGGAGCTTTTTCTAAATAGCAGACCACCAAGGAAATAAAGATGGAAATTAATAAAATAATATAAAGAATTTAAAATAATTAGTAAAAGATGTTTAGCAACATTGATAAATATTTATGCAATAATACTAAGTTTACAAACTAGAACTCAAAATTTCATTTACATTATATAGACAATTAAAATATATGTAGATAAGAACTTGAAGAGATTATCAGTAAAGATTACCAATTATGAATCATTAATGTATCAAGATTTTTGGTAATTATTTTTAGGTTCAGGTATGATGACTGGCTCATATTTTAAGAGTATAACAGTGTTGGTGGTTGGGTTTGAAACCTTTCATTGTTGCTCATTGGTGAGAGTTAGGGCAGTCATCAGTGAGGTGCTGCAAAGGAGGCTGACTGCTGTAATCACAGCTCTCCAAGGCTGTATACATAGCTTTATGATTGCCTTGTAAGGCTCACAGGCGATCTTGTTCATCTTAGGCACACAGACTCAGAAAGAACTTATGAGGGTGTTGTTTTAGTCATTTAATGTGTCCTCCTGTCTATTTTCACACTTTTTTTCCTAAAAGAAAATTGTAAGTAATAATCCAGCTAATATCACTCAGTAGTGATAACATATTAGATGTAAAGGTCAGATATCCATTTTATTTGCTCCCTACCTTTTAAAAGAATTAAAAATTGTAGTTTCATTAAAAATGGAATGCAGTTTACAATTATTGTTTTAGTTTTCCCTAGTAGAGTATAATACGAATTTTTTCCCAGTATACGATTTCATCGCTTTCATTTTCTATCTGTTGGTTTATCAGTAATGTAATATAATCTTATTTGTCAATTAATAATTTCATGGGTCTTTTTTGGATTCTCATGAGTTTTCTCACTTTGTTTTAGCCACACAGACAACATGTGGAAGAGAAAACCTGTCATGTTATATACAAAAGAAATTACTACGGAGTCACATCACAACTCTATTACTTTCAAAAGAAGATTCCAAACTTCTCTAGACTTCAGTTTTCTTACCTCCTAACTAAGAATAATCAGAGTACTTTTCAAAGAGAGTTTTTGAAAGGATGAAATAAACCAATGTATGTAAAGTGACTACCATACTTTTTGACACACAGCAAGCATTCACTAAAAGTTATTATTAACATTAGGATTACTTTAATTTGACCATAAATCATTCAAGAAATGGATGAAAAAAAAATACAGCCTTGACCACCGTTATCTATACTGTGAACTTATATTGAAGCTGCAGATTTACATATATATATATATATATATATATAATTAAATTTCTAAACACAGAACACAAATAAAAATGTCAATCTCTATAGACAGTGGCTGAGCCATGTTTATGATGTAGTTTTAGACCATTTCAGAGCATTTTTTTTAACTTCTAAAGGTTCGACAAAGGATAGCAATTATAATACAATTCTGTTTTTATTGTAGCTGTTTAAAACATCTTGCATGTTTTGACAATGCAATTGTTTTGTTTTCTTCTTTCATACTTCCTTCTGCAGATATTTTTGTCTATTACTTAAAGCTACTTGATCTTCTAGGAGCTATTAACTGTAATCATTCTTACCATCACTTTAGGATTTTTTTAGGTTACAATTATTTCTCATTTGCCAAATACCAGAGTCCTCTTGCCCTAGTCAGATCTATCACTATATGCCTCTCATCTCTCCTTCTCATCTAACTCAAAGATTCAGTCAGAACTCCATATTTTCTGCTTATACCTCCTTACCAGTTAACTACTTTGGTTTATGATCTAATAAATTCATAGTATCCTAAACTTATAGAGAAAAAAAAAGTAGCATAATATGCTGATTACCTTATGAATATGACTAGAGCTTTCAAAAAGCATGATTCTATATATTTCATAGTCAGACCAGGCATTAGGAAAATGACCATTGGAATATCCTAATTCATCTAAGCTCATCCATTGAAAACATTATTAGTGGTAACATGTATCTCTTGAAAGAATTTTTATTCACCTAGACTTTGCCTCCAATAGAGCTAATAATAAGACTGTAAAATTCTATGTGGCTTTCTAACGTTCTCATCATAGAAGCTAAATCCTTGTCCCTGTAGCAGCTCAGAGTCCCTTTGGCAAAGTAGCTATGACAGAGATTGCCTAAAAGCTCACTGATTCTATTAACTCTTCCTGAAATTAAATTGAGAACAAGTTCTGTGTGATGGGATGTGGTGGAAGTGATATACATAATTTCTAGGCCTGGCAATAAAACACTGACCACATTCTTCTTTTCCTGCAGTGGCCTTTGGGCTATCATAGTCCAGTGGACAACCTCCACTGGACTATGATATAAGGAAGAAAGTAGTTTTTATTTTATTAAGCTATTGAGATTTCAGAGTTCATTTCTTACTGTGGCTTAGCATAATCTAACCTGACTAATTTGGAAATGGAGGCCATTTGATCCAAGAGAACGATATGGTTTTCTTCTTAGATGACATAACCAATTTAAGAATCAGACACTTGCTTAGCAGAAGGCCTTTTCTGTCAGATAAAATAGCTACAGAAGGTTTTGATCAAGTGCCCAATCTGATCAACCTCCTACCATGTTACTTCCCTAAAGGTTAGCCATTGTTAACATTTAACGTCTTTTCAAACTCACCAGTAAATATTAAGTTTGAAAAGATAAAACACATGCAAAGCACCTCGCATGGTGCTTGATAAAACACAGTCATTAAATAGTTTTCTTCCTTTTCCTTTCATCCTGAGGAATTATAGACTTATTAAGCAGACAGATATTTGATCCAATTTCGGAGGTAAGAGAAGAGAGAAAGAAGGGAATAATGAGCTGGATAGGAGGTAAGAGAATGGGAGGAGAAAGTGAGAGTACTCATTGTCCCTGCACAATCCTTATGCCCACCCACACCCATTTCTTGATTCAGGGGCTTCAGATAAGATATGAAAGAGTAACCTGTTACTTTTTCTAGGAAGGAATTAAGCCCGAATGGTTGACTTCATGCAACTAAAGTACATATACTAATTTTGAAGTGATCTTAAAAGATGGTGCAACAGAAAACCAGCCCACTATATCTAGACTGCTAAACAAAATTAACTTTAAGATTGATATTAGCTGTCAATTTTCCTCTATTCTCTATCTTGACTCAAAAGTCTACTGGCTAGGCATGGTGGCTCCTGCCTGTAATCCTAGTGCTTTGGGAGGCCAAGGCAGGATAATTGCTTGAGGCCAAGAGTTCAAGAACCCATCTCTACAGAAAATAATTTTTTAAAAAAATTAACCAGGCATGATGGTACATGCCTGTTGTCCCAGCTAATAGGGAGGCTGAGGCAGGAGGATTGCTTGAGCCCTGGAGTTCAAGGCTGAGTGAGCTATGACTGTGCTTCTACACTTTAGCCTGGGTGACAGTGACATCCTGTCTCCAAGAAAATGCAATATAAAAAATCTGTTCATTTCAGCTTAAATGTGATTTTCTGTTAATAAATTTATATTAAACATTATTAAATTACAATCCATGGTATAATTTTATCTAGTGTAACCAGTATTTTAAGAAGGTATCTTTGATACTAACCTTGGTTTCTGTGATTTTCTTTTGGATTGCATCTATTGTATAGGGACCCTCCTTCCATGACTCAAGTTTAGCTCTGGCCTGTCCTAAGACCTGCTCAGCTTCTTCCTTAGCTTCCAGCCATTGTGTTGAATCCTTTAACATTTCATTCAACTGCTGCCTCCGGTTCTGAAGGTGTTCTTGTACTTCATCCCACTGATTCTGAATTCTTTCAACTGAAATAAAAGGAAAAATAAATATAGAGTAGTAAATACTAGTCTGGAGAAGACATATTAAAAACATTATCTGATAATTATGTTGCTTATTTAAAAATTATTCATTGTGTTATGGCTAGGATGAACAACAAGATTCTTTGTTTGATGACAAATAGTTTCCATTAAATTATTTTCCTGAAGGTGATAGAGAACATCAACATAAATGTAAAATTTTAACTCTATTCTTGACCCCAGAACTAAATATGCATAATCTTTTAGAAAAGTACTACAGAAGAATATCCAAATCCCCTTATCTTTGCCATTTCAGCAGCCATCAGTCTGATTTCCCAGTGCTAGGATTGGCATTTCATTGCCTGAAGGCTTTCTGTTGCCAAAAGAGTTTGCTTTGCCATCCATGTGGCAGGCTAGACATACCAGGCAATTGATGTCTCCCCTCCAGACCCTAGAAGCAGCTTATAAATAGTGACTAATTTTAGGAATTCAGATATTTATACTCTAGCTCCCTTGATTGTAGGAGTTATAACTCTGAGGCATGGATTTTACAAGGGTTCCAAGGTTTCCCTAGGGATAAAGCTCCAACAGCCCACAGTATCAGCTGGCTTGATAATACACCACCCATTACTGGCTAACTTGCCTTACCTGTCTCATTTCTCCACACTTCTAGAGATTTATTTACCTCCCAAATAAATCACTTGCTCTCAAAACCTTTTCTAAGGGTATTCTTTTGAGTAGATCCAAGGGATGATAGGTCTACTAGAAACTTTCTTTCTTTCTTTTTTTTTTTTTCTTTTTGAGGTGGAGTTTGCTCTTATAGCCCAGGCTAGAGTTCAGTGGTTTGATCTCGGCTCACCACAACTTCCACCTCCCAGGTTCAAGCGATTCTCCTGTCTCAGCCTCCCGAGTAGCAGGAACTATAGGCATGCCCCAGCAAGTCTGGCTAATGTTTTTGTATTTTTAATAGAGACAGAGATTCACCATGTTGGTCAGGCTAATCTCAAACTCCTGACCTCATGTGATCCACCTGCCTCGGCCTCCCAATGTGCTGGGATTACAGGCATGAGCCACTGCACCTGGCCAACTTCTTTTAACAATATCTGCTCCTTGTTTAAGATGAATGAGATAGAATGTAGCTCTGCAGTATCCTGACATCCATCTCAGAGCAATTAAGAGGAATTAAATGGAACAAATACTGGGTAGCAGAGCCATGCAATGGAGAAGGAAATCTGGAATCTGGTCATACTATTTAATTCCTGAATCAAGCCTACCCTACCTCTCAACTGTTTAATGACACTGATCAATATATTTCTTCTGGGTAAGTCTAAGCAACTTTGAAGTGGATTTTCTATGACTACAATGTAAAAGTTCTAACTTATAGAGAGGGACAAACTCTTTTGATAAAAACAAAGGTCTCCAAGGAATTGTGCAAGAATCACAGGAATTGTACATGGGGATAGCTTTCAAATATAAAAGTTTAAAAGAGGATTTTGATCCTGATTAAAGTAGCTTTATAACTAGGGTATTTAGATAAATAAACATAATGCTTGTATCACATTGGAGGAGTTCCTAAACAAAAAATCTTCCAAGGCCCATAGAACCAAAACTTACCAAAAATGTCATGGCATTTAGACAACATTATTCTGTGAGGCTTGTGGGTAGGAAGGCATTTTTGCTACCGTATGTTTACCTCTATTTTTTTATTTTATGAATATGTAAATGAAATTGACACTCAAAAAAAGAGACATCTGAGGACAAAATTATCCCAGGATATTCACATATAGGGTGGCCTTGACTGGTTACATTCATGGTTTAAAATATATTCTATTCTTTTTCCCTTTTAAATAGATCTTTGATAACTGAACACCCACTCAAACAAATATAACACTTTGTTAATGTTTTAAAACTTTTACTGTGTACTACTATGATTTACATTTTTACATTTTACATTCTATTTCCGACTCTAGACAATGTCCTTGCCTCAAAGGGAAGGACAGAATCTGTAGAAGATGCTGTTAGTGCCCATCCATATGCCGTTAGCACTCATCATTCAAGTGTATGTCAGCAGTGTTCTAGTACAAGCATTTGCCCTATTGCAAACCTGAGGGATTTTCCTCAGCTTGCTAAGTGCATTGGCCAGAAGTGCTGCAAAGTTAATACACCAGGCAGCATTTCGAGAATGATGGATAAGAGAATAGTTACCCCTCCTGTTGCCTTGCCCTTACCCCCTTGTAAATGACAACTTTGAGGCATGTTTTTTTTTTTTTAAACTATCTCCCAGAGCTCCTTCATCAGGATTGAACCACAATGGCTTAAAGAAATAACTTGTTTCATAACTGGCTTTATTATTGTCTTCTTTCATTTTTATCTTATTCTCCCTCTTTCCTACTGGTACTTCCTGGAATCACATTACAAACAAACTACTTTCACCATTAATCACTGCTTAAATGTCTGCTTCTGAAAGAAGCTAACCTAAGTTAGTATTTTGTGCATTAAAAAAGATCCTTTTCTGGAAAAGTGAGAGAAGCTAGAAAATAAAAAAAAAAGTAAAAACTAAAAACATTCTTAATGCACAAACTAGTGTTTGCCCCTTGGAATACCTTCCGTAAATGTCTGTCAAATGACTTGTACATGCAGATTATTTCCATTATATCCACTGTCTCTTAATAATGACATAAAAACGCAACTTCTAAAGTAAACCTTTGCCCAGCATCTTCAGTCTTTCTTCTTAAGTAACCACTATTTCTTTGTTGCATTTCAAGTTTACATAATTTGAAAATGGACTCAAGTAGTTCACATTTCCTTTCTTATTTTCCTCTTACTCTTCTGCTCATGACGTCTATTCCAGGCAAATAAATGTCCTCTGGATTTCCTTTATTTCTTATGTAATGCCTTTGCATCAAGCACATTTGTTTGTATAAAACATCTTTAATGTCAGGTTTACTAGTAGAATATCTGTGCCTTATATAAACTCCATAAATTAAAAGGTATTAGAGTGTCAAAAAATTCTGTGAGTACATAAGATTTTCAAAGCTAGACATTTCATTAATTTTAACTATAAGGAGTATTACAAAAAGCTATAATTCTAAGAGATAGTTATATGGCCATGTTATTTTGTGTAATTTGGGCAACTGGCTGATGTCAGTTATATGACATCAGCATGCCATGCCCATCAGCATGACTTTAATTAAATTAGAGGAATATCTCTTTTGTTTACTTTTTTCTGGATGTTGTAATATAACTTGAACAAAATCTAACATTAACATACAAAAAATAATTGCCATCCAAGAATATGATATCTATCAAGTTTGTCCCTCAACAATGAAGTTGGTGGTAAAAGTTTTCTCAGACAAACAAAAGTTAAGAAAGTTCATTATGACTAGATCTGCCTCACAAGAATTACTAAAGGGAGTTTTTCCTGCTGAAGGAAGAGGATACTAATTAGTAACATGAAAACATGTGAATATAAAACTCACTGGTATAAGTAAGTACAATGGCAAATCAAAAACATTCTCATAATGTATTGGCAATGGGTAAATTAGTTATAGTGTAAAAATTAAAGACAAAACTATAAAACTATAAAAAACTTCACTCCTTTGTGAAGTGATGCAAATTATATTTAAAAAGTAAGTTGTGATGTTAGAAATACAAAATGTGGGAAGAGGGAGAATAAATTTGTAGAATATGTGCAAACAATTAAAGTATCAGCTTATAAAATGTTTTATATAAGCCTCAGAGTATCCACAAAGCAAAAGCTTATAATACATACAGAAATGATAAAAACAAAAGACCCACAGTATACTACTACACAAAGCCATCAAAACACAAAGGAAGAGAGGAACAAAGAATCTATTAAAACAACCAGGAAAAAATTGACAAAATAACACTAGTAAGTCCTTAGTCATCCATCATTACTTTGAATGTAAAGAGATTAAATTTTCCAATCGAAAGGCATCGAGTGGTTGAACAGATTAACAACAACAAAAAAAAAACAAGACCCAAATATGTGCTGCCTACAAGTGGCTCATTTCACCTAAAAGGACATACATAGATTGAAAGTAAAGGAATGAAAAAAGATATTCCACGTACATGAGAACAAAAAGAGAGCAAAAGTAGTTATACTTATTTTAGACAAAATAGCCTTTAATTCAAAAACTCTTAAAAGAGACAAAGAAGGTCATTATATATTGATAATGTTTATTTCCTCATGACATAGTAAATAGAAGTATATATAAATCCCAAATCAGAGTACCTAAATATATAAAGCAAACATTAAGAGCTCTGAAGGGAAACATAGCCTACAACATAACAGTAGGCAATTTCAATATTCCACTTTAAGTGATAGACAGAAAAATTCATAAGAAAACACTGGACTTGAATGACACTTTAGAGCAAATGGACCTAACAGACATATACAGAACATTCTACCCTGAATAGCAAGAAAACACAGATTCTTCTTAAGTACACATTTAACATTCTCCAGGATAGATCATATTTTAGGTCACAAACAAGTCTCAAGAAATTTAAGAAAACCAAAATCATAAAATGTACCATTTCTGACCACAGTATAAAATAACAAATCAATAACATGGGAAATCATATAAAATTAAGAAATATGTGGAAACTAAACAATATGCTCCTAAATGACTATTGTATCAAAAGAAAAAATTAAACAGGAAATTTTAAAAAAATCTTGAGACAAACAGAAATGAAAACACAACATAGCAAAACTTCTGGGTGTAGCAAAGGCAGTGTTAAGAGGGAAGTTTATATCAATAAATTCCCACATCAAAAAAGAAGAAATATCTCAAATAAAACATCTAGCATTGTATGTCAGGGAACTAGAAAAAAGAAGAATGAACTAAGCCCAAAGTTAGCAGAAGGAAGAAAATAACAAAGATCAGAGCAGAAATAAATGAAATAGAGACTAGAAAAGCAATAGAGGCCAGGCATGGTAGCTCAAGCCTATAATCCCAGCACTTTGGGAGGCCGAGGCAGGTCAAGAG